ATTGAGTTATGTTTACAGTGAGTTATGTTTGCAGTGTGTAGAAGACAGTTGAGGTATGTTTGCAGTGTGTAGAAGACAGTTGAGGTATGTTTGCAGTGTGTAGAAGACAGTTGAGGTATGTTTGCAGTGTGTAGAAGACAGTTGAGTTATGTTTGCAGTGTGTAGAAGACAGTTGAGGTATGTTTGCAGTGTGTAGGAGACAGTTGAGTTATGTTTGCAGTGTGTAGAAGGCAATTTAGCTGTGTTCACAGTGTGTAGAAGACAGTTGGGTTATGTTTGCAGTTTGTAGAAGACAGTTGAGGTATGTTTGCAGTGTGTAGGAGACAGTGTGTAGAGAAGACAGTTGAGTTATGTTTACAGTGTGTAGAAGACAGTTGAGGTATGTTTGCAGTGGTGTGTAGAAGACAGTTGAGGTATGCTTGCAGTGTGTAGAAGACAGTTGAGTTATGTTTGCATTGTGTAGAAGACAGTTGAGTTATGTTTACAGTGTGTAGAAGACAGTTGAGTTATGTTTGCAGTGTGTAGAAGACAGTTGAGTTATGTTTGCAGTGTGTAGTAGACAGTTGTGGTATGTTTGCAGTGTGTAGAAGACAGGTGAGGTTGTTTGCAGTGTGTAGAAGACAGTGTGTGTGTAGAAGACAGTTGTAGAAGGCAGTATGCTTGCAGTGTGTAGAAGACAGTTGAGGTATGTTTACAGTGTGCAGAAGACAGTTGAGTTATGTTTGCAGTGTGTAGAAGACAGTTGAGGTATGTTTGCAGTGTGTAGAAGACAGTTGAGTTATGTTTGCAGTGTGTAGAAGACAGTTGAGTTATGTTTGCAGTGTGTAGAAGACAGTTGAGGTATGTTTGCAGTGTGTAGAAGACAGTTGAGTTATGTTTGCATTGTGTAGAAGACAGTTGAGTTATGTTTACAGTGTGTGGAAGACAGTTGAGTTATGTTTACAGTGTGTAGAAGACAGTTGAGTTATGTTTGCAGTGTGTAGAAGACAGTTGAGTTATGTTTACAGTGTGTAGAAGACAGTTGAGTTATGTTTACAGTGTGTAGAAGACAGTTGAGGTATGTTTGCAGTGGTGTGTAGAAGACAGTTGAGGTATGCTTGCAGTGTGTAGAAGACAGTTGAGTTATGTTTGCAGTGTGTAGTGTGTAAGACAGTTGAGGTATGTTTGCAGTGTGTAGAAGACAGTTGAGTTATGTTTGCAGTGTGTAGAAGACAGTTGAGGTTTGCACAGTTGTGTGTAGAAGACAGTTGAGTTATGTTTGCAGTGTGTAGAAGACAGTTGAGTTATGTTTGCATTGTGTAGAAGACAGTTGAGGTAAGTTTACATGTTTGCAGTGTGTAGAAGACAGTTGAGTTATGTTTACAGTGTGTTTACAGTGTGTAGAAGACAGTTGGGTTATGTTTACAGTGTGTAGAAGACAGTTGAGGTATGTTTGCAGTGTGTAGAAGACAGTTGAGGTATGTTTACAGTGTGTAGAAGACAGTTGAGTTATGTTTACAGTGTGTAGGAGACAGTTGAGTTATGTTTACAGTGTGTAGGAGACAGTTGAGGCATGTTTACAGTGTGTAGAAGACAATTTAGCTGTGTTCACAGTGTGTAGAAGACAATTGAGTTATGTTTGCAGTGTGTAGAAGACAGTTGAGGTATGTTTGCAGTGTGTAGAAGACAGTTGAGTTATGTTTGCAGTGTGTAGAAGACAGTTGAGTTATGTTTGCAGTGTGTAGAAGGCAATTTAGCTGTGTTCACAGTGTGTAGAAGACAGTTGAGGTATGTTTACAGTGGTGTGTAGAAGACAGTTGAGGTATGCTTGCAGTGTGTAGAAGACAGTTGAGTTATGTTTGCATTGTGTAGAAGACAGTTGAGGTATGTTTACAGTGTGTAGAAGACAGTTGAGGTATGTTTACAGTGTGTAGAAGACAATTGTGTGTAGAAGACAGTTAGTGTTTGCAGTGTGTAGAAGACAGTTGAGTGTTTGCAGTGTGTAGAAGACAGTTGAGGTATGTTTGCAGTGTGTAGAAGACAGTTGAGTTATGTTTGCAGTGTGTAGAAGAAGATGTTTGCAGTTGTAGTGTGTAGTGTGTAAGACAGTTGAGTTATGTTTGCAGTGTGTAGAAGATGTTTGCAGACAGTTGAGGTATGTTTGCAGTGTGTAGAAGACAGTTGAGGTATGTTTGCAGTGTGTAGAAGACAGTTGAGTGTTTAGTGTTGCAGTGTGTAGAAGACAGTTGAGTTATGTTTGCAGTGTGTAGAAGACAGTTGAGGTATGTTTTCAGTGTGTAGAAGACAGTTGAGTTATGTTTGCAGTGTGTAGAAGACAGTTGGGTTATATTTGCAGTGTGTAGAATACAGTTGGGTTATGTTTGCAGTGTGTAGAAGACAGTTGAGGTATGTTTGCAGTGTGTAGAAGTGTGTAGAAGACACAGTGTGTAGAAGACATGTTTGCAGTGTGTAGAAGACAGTTGAGGTATGTTTGCAGTGTGTAGAAGACAGTTGAGTTATGTTTGCATTGTGTAGAAGACAGTTGAGTTATGTTTACAGTGTGTGGAAGACAGTTGAGTTATGTTTACAGTGTGTAGAAGACAGTTGGGTTATAGTGTGTAGAAGACAGTTGGGTTATGTTTGCAGTGTGTAGAAGACAGTTGAGGTATGTTTGCAGTGTGTAGAAGACAGTTGAGGTTGAGTGTGTATGTTTGCAGTGTGTAGAAGACAGTTGAGGTATGTTTGCAGTGTGTAGAAGTCATTTTAGCTGTGTTCACTGTGTGTAGAAGACAGTTGAGGTATGTTTGCAGTGTGTAGAAGACAGTTGAGGTATGTTTGCAGTGTGTAGAAGACAGTTGAGATGTTTGCAGTGTGTAGAAGACAGTTGAGGTATGTTTGCAGTGTGTAGAAGACAGTTGAGTTTGCAGTGTGTAGAAGACAGTTGAGTTATGTTTGCAGTGTGTAGAAGACAGTTGAGTTATGTTTGCAGTGTGTAGAAGACAGTTGAGTTATGTTTATGTGTAGAAGACAGTTGAGTTATGTTTGCAGTGTGTAGAAGACAGTTGAGGTATGTTTGCAGTGTGTAGACAGAGTGTGTAGAAGACAGTTGAGTTATGTTTGCAGTGTGTAGAAGACAGTTGAGTTATGTTTGCAGTGTGTAGAAGACAGTTGAGGTATGTTTGCAGTGTGTAGGAGACAGTTGAGTTATGTTTGCAGTGTGTAGAAGACAGTTGAGTTATGTTTGCAGTGTGTAGAAGGCAATTTAGCTATGTTTGCAGTGTGTAGAAGACAGTTGAGGTATGTTTGCAGTGTGTAGAAGACAGTTGAGTTATGTTTGCAGTGTGTAGAAGACAGTTGAGGTATGTTTACAGTGTGTAGAAGACAGTTGGGTTATGTTTGCAGTGTGTAGAAGACAGTTGAGGTATGTTTGCAGTGTGTAGAAGACAGTTGAGTTATGTTTGCAGTGTGTAGAAGACAGTTGAGTTATGTTTGCAGTGTGTAGAAGACAGTTGAGGTATGTTTGCAGTGTGTAGAAGACAGTTGAGTTATGTTTGTGTGTTGAGTGTGTAGACAGTTGAGGTATGTTTGCAGTGTGTAGAAGACAGTTGAGGTATGTTTACAGTTAGGAGTAGAAAGGTGATGTATTATTAGAGATGTGTGTAGAAGACAGTTGAGTTATGTTTGCAGTGTGTAGAAGACAGTTGAGGTATGTTTGCAGTGTGTAGGAGACAGTTGAGTTATGTTTGCAGTGTGTAGAAGACAGTTGAGGTATGTTTGCAGTGTGTAGAAGACAGTTGAGGTATGTTTGCAGTGTGTAGAAGGCAATTTAGTGTGTTACAGTGTGTAGAAGTGTGTACAGTTGAGGTATGTTTTTGCAGTGTGTAGAAGACAGTTGAGGTATGTTTACAGTGTGTAGAAGACAGTTGAGTTATGTTTGCAGTGTGTAGAAGACAGTTGAGGTATGTTTGCAGTGTGTAGAAGACAGTTGAGGTATGTTTGCAGTGTGTAGAAGACAGTTGAGGTATGTTTACAGTGTGTAGAAGACAGTTGAGTTATGTTTACAGTGTGTAGGAGACAGTTGAGTTATGTTTGCAGTGTGTAGAAGACAGTTGAGTTATGTTTGCAGTGTGTAGAAGACAGTTAAGGTATGTTTGCAGTGTGTAGGAGACAATTGAGTTATGTTATGTTTGCAGTGTGTAGGAGACAGTTGAGTTATGTTTGCAGTGTGTAGAAGACAGTTGAGGTATGTTTGCAGTGTGTAGAAGGCAATTTAGCTGTGTTTACAGTGTGTAGAAGACAGTTGAGGTATGTTTGCAGTGTGTAGAAGGCAATTTAGCTGTGTTCACAGTGTGTAGAAGACAATTGAGTTATGTTTGCAGTGGTGTGTAGAAGACAGTTGAGTTATGTTTACAGTGTGTAGAAGACAGTTGAGGTATGTTTACAGTGTGTAGAAGACAGTTGAGTTATGTTTACAGTGTGTAGGAGACAGTTGAGTTATGTTTACAGTGTGTAGGAGACCGTTGAGGCATGTTTACAGTGTGTAGAAGACAATTCAGTGTGTAGGAGACAGTTGAGGTATGTTTGCAGTGTGTAGAAGGCAATTTAGCTGTGTTCACAGTGTGTCTATGTGGTTCAGTAATGATTTCTGTGTATAGAATATAGTTTTTTCGTGTTTAATTTGTGTAGTGTGTAGTTTTCAAAGTTATGTTTATTTTGTGTGATAGGTAGTTACGTTTTATTTACTTTGTGCGGTGTGTTGTCACGTGCATTTTGTGGTAATTGAATCATGATAACTGAATGCGGTATTCACTTCTCTGGAACAATGAATAATAAACTCTGGATATAACGTCAATCGTTTGACACGTCATCATGCTTAATAACCCGCATTCATCATCGCGTCTGTTGGTGTGCTTGATATCTGTATGTTTTGTGAATTGAGTACACATTTCATAACAATATTGTATCATTGATGTTCTGCAATTAATTTTTATTTATTAAACTATTTTTGTTGTCTATTTCAGATTTAAGAGCATCCGAATATTATAACCAGCAGTGTGACACAACATCTCCTTGTGGAGAAAATACAGGTGCGTGTCTCACTTTGATAAATATGTGTCTCCTACTTCCACAACTGCATGTCCAGTCCATCCATATGTACATGTTCCATCTATCTGCACGTACATATCTAAAACAAAGTACATATTCTATCCTTCATGTGCCATGCCCCGCTGAAGGAAGGCTACATGTCCAATTCCTCCACACGAGGGTGTCCCGTTTTTATGCTCAAGAGTCTCTCGGTGACAGAAACATGTCCTATGATTCCACAGGCGCGTCTCCCACTTCTCCCTGCAGGTGCGTTTCCTATCTTCCTGCTTGAACGAAATCTCGCTGAAACAAGTTTACATATCACACTTTCTCATAGCTTTGTTTCTCCACGTGACACACGCGTGTATCACACAGACCTGTACGTCTAATCCTTCCATTTTTCCACTTGTTCGTGTCTCAACGCCTGATCTGTAGCTGGTGAGTGATTCAAGCATCTGTTATCTAGAGTATATCAACAGTAATGATATAAAACGTTTATACATAGGTTTCTAGGTGTAACACGAGTGATATCATATAAAACAACCACATACCTACCCACAGTCCGGTCTTTTATACCATGGTCAACCATCAGGAATTGTGTAAAGAATAGCGTGATGATTAAAATTTTCATATTTTTTTCTTTTTAAGTAGTTAATGACCTTTATCCAATATCAAGATCTCTATAAAATAAGTCTAAAACTGAGTTTTAGAGTCGATATTGTGATTTAGTTGTGACATGAAGCGATGTTTAGATAACATCGAAACTCGTTTGTATGCCTGATGGTTTCGTAAGTATACTGTGGATTCTCGTTTGGGAGCGTTAAGTTACATACTAGATTGACTTAAGAGTCATGTGTCGTTGATGAATCAGAACATTTAAATCCGTCCTGATTTATTCGTTTTGTTCGCCTTTATTCACCTCGATACATTTTGCCCTCGTGAGAATGATGTTAACAGGTCGGGTGCTTTAATCTAGTGCTTTACATTGTAGGTGTCGTCATTGGTACTTACTGCTACTTGATTGCTGACATCGTGTTCCACGGCGTTCTACTCATCACGTTTATCATTGCTCTGATAGCCTTCGCAATGATTGTCCATCTCAAACGACAGATGCCCGACTCGAAACCGGGAGACAAACAACGACCGGACAGGGGAAAGGGGAAAACAAGCTGCTCCAGTGGGAAAAAGAGGGCCGGGTCCAGGAAGGACGAATCTGTGGTTTGATGTTTCCGGACACCCTGATCGGATTTGCCGACATTGCACGATATCTTCACTCAATTATCCGACGAGAGTTTTTCAATACAAAAATGCCTACTTTTGACACATAAAACTGCTCAGCGTTTGACCACATCCATGCAATACTTGGAGAGTGTGCCACTGCATATGTATTTGATGTCAAAATGATGGACGAGACTGCAAAATTGTTCCATTGGAAAGTATGTAAAAAAAATATGGCACTACGTTATTATCTCATATTGTTTATTTTCAGTTATTTTCCCACTTTGATAAACTCAAAGCGTTTATTTACCATACGAATGGGAAAAATCTACCACTACGGTTGCATTGTAATCACGAAAGTAAAAGTAGGTGCCTGGTTATCATTTCAGTACGATGTTCTGACGGCCTTGGTGGTTTGTGTCTTATCAAATGAAAATTGAATTGTATTTCCAGACAAAAAATGACCTAAAGAATCAGAAACTAGATATATTTGTGTTCAGTTCTAAAAGACGGTAATGGCGTGACGAGGCTCGGCAACACAATCCTCAAATCTTGTCTTATAAAACGATTTCCCCGTAAATTGATACGATTCTCAGACTACATATAGAGTGATAAGTATAAACACTCTTTAGATGTTCGTGCTAATGCCAAATTCTTGATAATTTCGTTATAACGTGTATCATTTTGGTTCAAATAAAGACACAAAAGTTCTGTATTCACGTCTGGGTTTTTTTTCTATCTTTTTAGAATGCAAAAAATATATGAAATGGCAGAAAAAAAATAGCTTGATGATGTTCAATTCCGACTGCCGACGACCTGATGGGAAACATTATTAGTCCCATCATAGTGTTGTACGGTGTATAAAATCATCCATTAAAATCTGACAGTTTTTATAATATGTCAATTTATTTCATTAAAAACATCACTCTTGTTGGCCCTGCAGTAAGCGCACGAAGGGTCGCACTGTGTGAGGAAGCAGTTACAAGTGGGAAACCCCATTCTTAGTACATGTACCAACATATCAGGGCTTCAGTCTTATTACTATTAACACCGAAAGTATGTGCAAACACTGGATTTTTCCACTCTGTACTCTTCCCCATTCAAAACTGATGAGACGCCTCCGTTATCTTGTTATGTGACGTAAACAACAGGAAAATACCAACATGTAAACCGAATCAATTGTACGATAATCGTGATGATTCTAATTTTCCTCTCGTAAATTTTCAAATTTGCCAAATGACAGACAAACTCATAACACCGGGTTTCGAAACATGCAAGTTGTTGAAGATAATCGAGAAGTTTTACGATTATCGTAATGACGTCATTGACAAATATTCTATTTCTTTGAGCGATATAAAGTTTAACTATTTTAAAACTTGCTAGTTACACTGTTTTCAACTGGGAACGTGACATTACTTACTTTGATTGGTCAAGATATTGCAGGTGTCGTCGATAAAGCAGAAGACGCTTACCCTTCCGCAACACATCAATCTTTTTTCTTGTTGTACTTTCTTATTTAGCGATAGTTTCAGCGAATTTGTGTTTGAATTGAAATTCTGCCAATATGTCGGTATTACGTTTTTCATTTTTCTTCAACATTCCCCGAGAGATTCATGTTGTTTTAAATATGCATCTTAATTCACATTGTTCGCAGACACGCACTTCTATTTAAATACTTCTAAATTAACACCTTATTCAGACAGGATTACATTTACAACCACAGTAAGTCAACGTCATGACAAGGAACTCCAAAACTTAATATCCAAAATACTGTCTACATAAACTCCGACATATATTTGTTTTAATTAATTGTCCGGATTTTTTTCAACTTTTGTATGGATAAATATCGTACTCAGAACAAGAACATTTAGTATCAAAATACCCTTACACTGTATACTGGATCTGATTAACTAACAATTAAACATTTTCTATAAATTGAACTATTTATCAGTACAGTTTTGTGAATAACACTATTAAGTGGACGTACTAGAAAGATGCGCATTGCGACATACAATATCCAACATTCAGTATTTAAATGATTCATAGTTCGATAGGCGATGTTCAGTATATGTTTATGATACAATAATAAAAGTCAGTGGTGTACGGTATCGTGTGTTTATGATACAATAATACAAGTCAGTGGTGTACGGTATCGTGTGTTTATTATACAATGATAAAAGTCAGTGGTGTACGGTATCGTGTGTTTATTATACAATAATAAAAGTCAGTGGTGTACGGTATCGTGTGTTTATTATACAATAATAAAAGTCAGTGGTGTACGGTATCGTGGGTTTATTATACAATGATAAAAGTCAGTGGTGTACGGTATCGTGTGTTTATTATACAATAACACAATTAAGTCAGTGGTGTATGGTATCGTGTGTTGATGATACAATAATAAAAGTCAGTGGTGTACGGTATCATGTGTTTATTATACGATCACACAGTTAAGTCAGTGGTGTACGATATCGTGTGTACGGTATCGTGTGTTTATTATACAATAACAAGGTTAAGTCAGTGGTGTACGGTATGATGTGTTTATTATACAATAACAAGGTTAAGTCAGTGATGTACGGTATCGTGTGTTTATTATACAATAACACGGTTAAGTCAGTGGTGTACGGTATCGTGTGTTTATTATACAATAACACGGTTGTCAGTGATGTACGATATCGTGTGTTTATTATACAATAATACAAGTCAGTGGTGTACGGTATCGTGTGTTTATTATACAATAAAAGTCAGTGGTGTACGGTATCGTGTGTTTATTATACAATAATACAAGTCAGTGGTGTACGGTATCGTGTGTTTATTATACAATAAAAGTCAGTGGCGTACGGTATCGTGTGTTTATTATACAATAAAAGTCAGTGGTGTACGGTATCATGTGTTTATTATACAATAACACAGTTAAGTCAGTGGTGCACGGTATCGTGTTTATTATACAATAACACAGTTAAGTCAGTGGTGTACGGTATCGTGTGTTTATTATACAATAATAAAAGTCAGTGGTGTACGGTATCGTGTGTTTATTATACAATAACACGGTTAAGTCAGTGGTGTACGGTATCGTGTGTTTATTATACAATAACACAGTTAAGTCCGTAATGCACGGTATCGTGTGTTTATTATACAATAACACGGTTAAGTAAGTGGTGTACGGTATCGTGTGTTTATTATACAATAATACAAGTAAGTGGTGTACGGCATCGTGTGTTTATTATCAAATAATACAAGTCACAGGTGTACGGTATCGTGTGTTTATTCTACAATAACACGGTCAAGTCAGTGGTGTACGGTATCGTGTGTTTATTATACAATAGTACAAGTCAGTGGTGTACGGTATCGTGTGTTTATTATACAATAACACGGTTAAGTCAGTGGTGTACGGTATCGTGTGTTTATTATACAATAACACGGTTAAGTCAGTGATGTACGGTATCGTGTGTTTATTATACAATAACACGGTTAAGTCAGTGATGTACTGTATCGTGTGTTTATTATACAATAATACAAGTCAGTGGTGTATGTACAATAACACGGTTAAGTCAGTGGTTTACGGTATCGTGTGTTTACTATACAATAACACGGTTGTCAGTGATGTACGGTATCGTGTATTATTATACAATAACACGGTTAAGTCAGTGGTATACGGTATCGTGTGTTTAATATACAATAACACGGTTAAGTCAGTGATGTACGGTATCGTGTGTTTATTATACAATAACACGGTTAAGTCAGTGATATACGGTATCGTGTGTTTATTATACAATAACACGGTAAAAGCAGTGATGTACGGTATCGTGTGTTTATTATATAATAACACGGTTAAGTCAGTGGTGAACGGTACCGTGTGTTTATTATACAATAACACAGTTAAGTCCGTAATGCACGGTATCGTGTGTTTATTATACAATAATACAAGTAAGTGGTGTACGGCATCGTGTGTTTATTATATAATAACACGGTTAAGTCAGTGGTGTACGGTATCGTGTGTTTATTATACAATAACACGGTTAAGTCAGTGATGTACGGTATCGTGTGTTTATTATATAATAACACAGTTAAGACAGTGATGTACGATATCGTTTGTTTATTATACAATAATACAAGTCAGTGGTGTACGGTATCGTGTGTTTATTATACAATAACACGGTTAAGTCAGTGATGTACGATATCGTGTGTTTATTATACAATAACACGGTTAAGTCAGTGGTGTATGGTATAGTGTGTTTATTATACAATAATACAAGTCAGCGGTGTACGGTATGATGTGTTTATTATACAATAACACGGTAAAGTCGGTGGTGTACGGTATCGTGTGTTTATTATACAATAACACGGTTAAGTCAGTGATGTACGGTATCGTGTGTTTATTATACAATAATACAAGTCAGTGGTGTACGGTATCGTGTGTTTATTATACAATAACACGGTTAAGTCAGTGGTGTACGGTATCGTGTGTTTATTATACAATAACAAGGTTAAGTCAGTGGTGTACGGTATGATGATGGACAGTGGTGTACGGTATCGTGTGTTTATTATACAATAACAAGGTTAAGTCAGTGGTGTACGGTATCGTGTGTTTATTATACAATAACACGGTTAAGTCAGTGATGTACGGTATCGTGTGTTTATTATATAATAACACTGTTAAGCCAGTGATGTACGATATCGTTTGTTTATTATACAATAATACAAGTCAATGGTGTATGATATCGTGTGTTTATTATACAATAATACAAGTCAGTGGTGTACGGTATCGTGTGTTTATTTTATAAGAACACGGTTAAGTCAGTGGTGTACGGTATCGTGTGTTTATTATACAATAATACAAGTCAGTGGTGTACGGTATGATGTGTTTATTATACAATAACACGGTTAAGTCAGTGGTGTACGGTATGATGTGTTTATTATACAATAACAAGGTTAAGTCAGTGATGTACGGTATCGTGTGTTTATTATACAATAACACGGTTAAGTCAGTGATGTACGGTATCGTGTGT